CCGGACATGGCTTGATTTCTGGTCTTCAGTCGAACCACTTTCACTATAAACAGTGTCCATGACAGGCAACGACAGGAATCCTCGTCATTGGAAAAACTTGTTGATTATGTTCGTTTATATGTTTGTGGCCAATCGGGTGGAAAAAGGCGGAGCCACTTAGGCGGGGAATTTAGAGCGCCTTCGCGAATGTTCAGTCGACTTCCTGTTACTCAAAACCTCACGCAATACATTCTTACACTTGCTGCTATTCTATCCACTATCTATCTTTGATTCGAAGTATTTTATCATATTCGGCTTCAGGTATTTGCGGTGACGCAACGTAAATATCTCCTCAAGTGTCTCTCAAAATTCAGAGTAACATCTTAGAGATTATCATATGAGCTGAACGGCCCCGCATATAATGACGAAGCCACAAAAAAAAAATTGAATACAAACAAAAAAACATCGGACTGAGTTATGGCTAAATGCGGTATTTTAAAATATCCATTAAGCTGTTCTGTGGAATCAATTAAACGATGTTTTGTGGCTGACTCAGCATTCCCAAGAGAGACAACGTCAATAAAAATGATATCAATACTGATTCCCTTCACGTTGATTAAACAAATTGAAGCCAAGTGCCTTGTGGACACTGCTAACTCACGCAACGGCGAGCAAAGTTCAAGACCTTGTCACTACCCACTCATAAAAACAGAAAGAAAATAAAATAACGCAAATGGCAACGGAAGCGGAAAAATTTTGTTGTCGTCATAGTTTCCCACTTAGTTGAAAAAGAAAGAAAATAAAATAACGCAAATGGAAACGGAAGCTGTCAGTTAGTTGTCAATCGGTGGGAAAAGGGCGGAGCTACTTAACCCTTTAACTCCCAGATCAAATTCGTAATTCTCTTTATTGTAAACCATACAATTCTTATAATGTTAGTGCAGAGAATTTAGTATAAGATCAACTAATTATCCCCAAGTTGATATTTTTCTTTATTCTCATCACTCATCTGGTTGATATTTTATTGATATTGTGAGGAGAAATTGTGTCTTGGTCACTCATGGGAATTAAAGGGTTAAGTAACGTGGAATTCTATCTACGGTAACTCAAACTCCCACCTTCCTATTTCTCTTAAGTTATTTCCGGTTCTATAGAAGTTTCCTCTCGATCACCAACCGAGTTCCGAGAAGTTAGGGAAGTTTTTTTCGAATGCAAAGTACAGAAAGTGTGAAGAAACATACTACCGGTGCTCTTCTTTCCTCGTACTTAATTCTCAGTTTCATTTAAGTAAATGTATTTTATTCTATCTATGATTTAATATCGTTTATCACATCATTTTCACGCACAAATATCTCCTCCACTGTCTCCCAAGTTCGATATTCCAAAATTCAAAGCAACATTTTGTATGGATTATATTGATTTAGCAATAATTTACCACAAAATTGTGGCCTTTTGGACACTGCTAACTAACACAACGGTGAAACAAAGTCCCAAACTTCATAAGGCAATGTTGGTCAATTTATTACCTCACTGGTATCTCCGTGAAAGTGAAAAAGGGGTTTCTGTGTAGCAGAGCTACACAATTAATCTGTATATCTTAGCGTGTCCGCACGTCTCAAACATAGAGTATATTTCAGCGAAGCACTGGTGTGTGTCCCCTCGGCGGGGACATACAGCAGTGCAAAGCTATCTGGGATACCCAAGTGAAAGGTGCAGTTACAAAATAATAAAAAAGTATAACTGCTTCGCAGGCTGTGCGGTAGATTTTCCTGAGGATCTAGGTCGCAAATAGTTTCTTCTAAATAACTACAACTCTAAGAACCATCCCAAGGAAGTGTCAAATACAGGTCAATAAAATGAGGAAATATCTCACGGAAGGAGGAAACCCGAAAATTATAAACTGAGGACATCATTGGAGCGCAAAGAACAGACATTTCACAACAAGTTTTTTGTTTTATTAGTAGCAGCTTTCTGTGTTCCCCCTTCTTTTTTTTTTCCACGACGGAACCATTAAGCTTTTTGCTTGCACTAAACTGATCTCTATATCACCTTACGATAAAAAATAGCCTGTAAAGAGACTGGGATCGAAATTGTAATGCATTCGTCCCAGGTCCCGGCTGATGGATTTTGGTGAAAAATGCACCATTGTTAAAGTCTGGGAGGAGGGGGGGAGTGTTTGGGGGGAACACGTGGTTTACAGTAAGAACTGGGGGGAGACTAGTCGTCTCTAACAGAGTTTGCAGGTGGGCTATAAAAAATTGACTACCAATGAGGAAGTTTGTCCCATATACGGCTTGTAAATGAGTCACGAGTTGTAAAACTGAGTTATCGATCCGTGCGGATCGTAATATGTATTCATAAGTCGTACGATCCGTGTTTCGTTTAATAGATAGGCGTTGCCTCTTGTTGACAGATTTATTCGATGACAAGAATCGTGATTGACATTAATTCAATAGATTGACTTAAAAGCGTTAGGTAATTATGTTTCAAGTCAGCTTTTCAGCAGAATCGAAGTGAGGAAGAAGTTATTTTGTTATCGTTTTTCTGTCTCTAAATCCGCTTACCTGGAGAATCTGCTAACCCGTAAAGTGAGACTGTTGTAACGACCCGCCACAGAAGTAAGTTTACATTGAAATTTTGTAATTTAGTTACAAGATAAAGACATGATTTGCGTTTGTTCTAATTGCGAATTATAAATGTATTTCTTTTAGATCGAATAATTATTAAAGCTTGGCTTGATATTATACGGTTTGTGGTGGTCATTTGATCTAACCAGTTCCGAGTAAGGAAACAATCCGTACGAGTCGTCTAATTTGTTCACGAGTCGTAAGGTTGTGCTTTCGATCCGTGTCATTAGGGAGACTTCAAATTTTTTCAACACTTGAGAGTCTTTCGGGCTTCTAGTTCTAGTGTCTTTCAGGTCATGGTGGACTTTTTCGATTCGTACCCTCCGTACGATCCTAGCAGATTGTCTAACGTATTCACGATTCGTCTAATGAATTCACAGGTCGTGCCGTCGATCCGTGAATCTTGTTAGGGATGCATGGGTTTGTCTGTTGTCATCGTAGTGTGTCGATTCTTACGATTAGTACGATACGTGCGGATCTTTTAATGTATTCACGAGGCATACTCAAGGATTCCACTAGACGATATCCTGGGCGTAACTTAATATGGAGTTGATAGCATGCAGTCCACGAGAAATTGCAATATCATGTCAATTTTTGCAACTGAGACGGCCGGATATTAATAATTTCCGGCAGCTACGTGACGCAGTCTCTTTTGCAGACTTCAAAATCTTTACCTCACAATGTCTTATTGTCATAGATTGGTTCGCACGACAGCTGGGTTTGAGCCATTATCACCGAAGAAAGATCAGTTTAAACAACGGTCTCGGTTCGCCACAATCGTGATATGAATATATTGTTATATACTGTAAGGTTACATGTTCTTTAGAAGTCTTCAGGCTATAAATCGGCTCTCACGATCGCTGGGTTTGACTCATCAGAAAAGAGTTAAGAAACTGTAACTTAAAAAACAGCCTTAGTATTTCTCAATCGTGATATGATTATATTCTGTAAGGTAATATGTACCTTAGAAGTCTCGTAGCCAATGATTTCACGATCGCTGGGTTTGACCCATAAGTTAAAACAGAACAAGGTTCAGTTACTGACAACAGTCTTGGTTTTCCGCAATCGTGTTATGATTATATGCTCTAGTTTTATATTCTTTAGAAGTCTCCCAGCCATAAAGTGGCTCCCATGACCCTTGGGTTTGGTAAAATAAAAGACTAAAGAAATCTTCCATTAAACAACAGCCTTAGTATTCCACAATCGTGTTATGATTACATTTTGCTGGGTTACGTGGGCTTTAGAGGCCGTTACCGGCGTAATTTAAACAAAGCCAATCCAGTGTTTTGTCTTTAGTATTTCAAATTCAATCGCACAATAAAACCTCACGCCACAGACGTTGGCACGCTTTTGCTACCAGAGAACAATTCCAAACAAGTTACACGTTTTCAGACGTTGTTAATTAGATGTGTCCTTATGACAACATTGAAAGAATTTCTATAGACACTGGGTGTCTCTGAGCCTGGAGTGAATCAAAAGGCTTTGAACAGCGAGACGTTCACTAGTTTGCCCATTAGTGAAATAGAAGAGTCGCCATGATATATTCCTACTGGTTTCGCTTCGTTTAAAGTCGGTAAACTTTTGCGTCGAGCTCAGATTGTTAGCACTAATTTTAAACATCATTTTTCGACAAAAGCGTCCCTTTGTCTTGCAACACGCCGTTAATCACTTAAGTTGGCTCTAACAACGACTCAAATAATTGTTATTAACTCGTAAATAATCGTTGATTGTAAAATTTTCTTCATTTGACGGCGGCATTTTTCAATACCCGTGACTTCATTCAAGGTCAAAACTCTAAAAACCACCGCTATAAATCAAGACTCCTTCACGCGACTTAGGCCTAGAATAGCACAGCACGAAAAATTTCAAGCCTCGGGGTAAAACAGCGGCTTCACAAAGAACTCCGTTGTTGAAATAAAGCTTTTGTTTAGTCAGGTGGTAATGGTAAACTTGTGTATTGAGTTTCGCGAAACTGTTATTTACTCATCTGTTTATTTCGTTAAAGTTTTGTTTAATGAACTTTTAATAAGCAACACATCAACCGCGTTTACGCAATTTTCGCCGACCTGAGCTTTTAAACTCTCATTATCTTGTCTTATGATTTCGCACTCAATAAAACAATTTGTCAGATCTTTAACATAAAACTGTCTGATAACAGACTAGGCATTGATTATCTCGTAGATAGGTAGATACGTAATTCTGTGTTTCAAACGAATAGAACCCCATGCAGGCGAAGCTTTCAAACAATTACGAAAGCATCGCGGCCATGTATTATTCGCGGTGTTTACAAAACCTTCCAAGTGCTAACGAGTTTGCTGACGATAAACAATAGAAATGTAAAAACACGCTTATTTCACGTGGTCTCACCTATTTCACAGTTTTTATATTTTACACCGATAACTCCCTGTTCTCAGGAGCGTTTGTCTGTTTACAGAAATCCCTTTTGAACTGGAGTTATCAAGTGTAGTATTATGAAAAGAATGCATTGTGGTTTCCTAGGTCTCTCGAGAACACTTCATGAGGCACTTAACCTGAAACAATGATTCTATGCCATCTATTTCAAAAAAATTTCGTACTTTATTGATCCATAATGTAACAGATATACAGATATCAAAGTATGTAGATCCTTCGTGCTAATCAGATCTTAAGAATATGTATATGTATATGATAAACGCCGAGAAATTCTGTAGCTCTCCACGCGACACGGCAAGCGTCTCGAATAGTGTGTGATGAAAAAACGTAATTTCCTGTTGCATGTGGAGTGTTGACATCTCACGAGAAAGGGCGGAAAACTAATTCAACCTAAATATCTTCCCAATCCAAAAAGATCAATTACTAATTAAAACAACACTATTTGATTCTCCTCGATTTTCATCAGGAAAGCAACTTGATTGCAATGTTGAAACAAGGTTTTCGTTTACCTTTCTTTAAGACAGTTTTCAGACTTCGCATCCGATATACGCTTGATTCTTTATGTCAAGTTCGCTGAACGAAGTACTGTTGAGATCTGATTAAAAGTCAAGGACGTGTTAAGTTAAGATTGGTTCAAGTGAGAGTGATTATCTCTGATAATAACCTGCCTATTCCACGCGATTAAAAACCCATCATGATCATGACGTAAACACTTATTTGGTATTCGGTGAAATGCTTCATTTCATAAAACTGACAAATCATGGTCTCCTCTATAAATTTATGAACTTTACAGATAGGTTTGAGACAGGGCTTCTTTCAAATACATACACGACGGATTATCTCGTTCAATCTTGAAACGCTGTCGTCTATCATAACTGTCGGCTTTGAACCGACCCTCTCTCACGGTGTTTGATTCACTCTCAACAGAGCTTGTTTCACTATCTGACTCCTGGCCTTTCTGAAGCACCTCAAACAGGTCTCCAATGTAGCGGATTGCAAAGCGCAGTGTTTGTATTTTGGACAGTTTCTTCTCTTTAGGAGCGAAGGACGAAGGCAGGTGATACCTTAGTTCTAACATAGCGGCGCTGATACTCCTCATCCGAGAACGTTCTCGAGCGTTCGCTGTCTGTCTCTGCTTGCTCAGACCAGTAAGCCGCGGCTTTCTGCGCCGTTTTTTCTTTCTATTTACTCCTGCTTTGCTTTGCGCTTGTAACTTCTCAACAGCCATGTTTGGTCAGTAGAATTCTTGCCTTACGGTGTGGATTATTGGCGAGACTCTCGTAATGTTGACCAACAGCGTTACACCGATCTCTGCTTACTGAAATATGGCTTCCTCTTCCGCGTGTTAGCAAAAGTCTTTTCTTTGGCGCGCTAACCAGGGACTACTAGTTGAACAAATCCAATCGTGTGATCAGTTCTAATAGGAAAAACTTTCCAAGAAGCGCTTGGAATGTAATGGAAACGGGAAGTGGGCCAATTTAAACGAGTCGGAGTTAGGTTTACCTGAACGTATAAAGTTGCAGTGGCGCTCGTGTTTTCAACTGTGAAATCAACTTCTCTTTAATCAAATAAACCCCGACGGATAAATTAGAGGTTTGCTCTCCAATCAACCGTCGCTTCATACTGACCAGCACATAGACAAAGAGTGATCAACATCATGTAGCGTATTTATTTCAACAATTGCACAAAATCACTGCAGGAGAGGAGCATTTTTTGGCTCCTAAAGAAGCTTCAACCTAGGTGGCCGGAAAAAGCTGTTCTACCACTCTTTGTTTAACCTTTCAGATGCGCATAAGGCATTTCAAGATCTTTGTCTCTCTGCAGACTTCGAAACAAAGCACTTGCTGTCACTAATAAACTAAGATATCAAACTTGTAAACGAGAACAAATTACTGACCTGGAAAAAATTTTAACTCTATGAAGACAATTTAATTCACGCTAATGACAAATGCGCAGTGTTGAAACACCGAGTATTTCCAAGTTACGAATAGCATATCAAAATCTTTACTGCCTTAAGATGAAGTTACAATAGTTTTTTAAAGGGAAAAAGTTCATGGTAGCATTCCTACTAGAAGGTTTCTAAGACGTTTTGCCTCCAGGGTCACTCGGCAATTAGGCTTCAGATAAAGAAATTCTTTCCGCCGAACTAAGCATTACACAATGTGGCTTCTACCATGAGACAATGAGCTACCTAGGGGAGCCTGACGCGATGTTTGTTTTATCTTGGTGTTTTATCAAAATAAAACGGTTATCTCACTTCTGATCATGGTCGAAGTTATGACCACGAGGTACTGTGTCCACCGACTCCAATTTGAGCATCTGCCTCCGATCAAATATGCATGGGACATGATGATTTATCACCTTCCTTTCATGCGGTAACCAATCCTTTACAATTAAGCTGTTGGCAAATTACTTTGGGTTATTGCATAATAACTGACGCTCTCTAAAAATAGTCCATCGAAGAATTTGCATCATTACTGGGCAGAAATGTTACCGGCAACCTCTACACTGTCCTCGTCATAGACGGTTAGGCAAACGAGCGTGAATGAATGTCTGAACGAGAGCAGATGAGCGATTAAAACGTGGCTGTCGGAAAAACAGAGGGCAAGGATTCGCACTCTCTCACAGGTCTTTAATCCTACTTTGCTGTTTATGAATTTCATTCATAACAATTCATCAGCCAAAGCTTTGATATCAAGCTCCTATTGGCGTTGTTTGGTAAACCCCTAGTCAACATTATTTGTTAGTTTTATTTTCATTTTGTTCTTGTTTTGTGTGTGTTTGTGTATATGTGAACATTTTCTTCACTTGCTACGCAGTTTTATCTTTTCTATTTCTGGTTCGGTTGGAAGGCCTCTGACGCCCGAGTTCCTTCTACGGCTGTCTTTCTCTTGTCTAAGGCGCATTTTCAATTTCTTACTCGTGTTTTTCTTTTTTCCATATTCACTGTATACCGAATAAAAAGTAAGACAGAGTGATGTAACCAACTTTTATCCGGACCTACCACGGCCAAACAGCGCGGCACACTTTCTTTCAGAGAAATAGGGGACTTAAACAAAGGAGAACAAATTAATAAAAGATGACACAAAACGGAAACCATTAATATGCGACGGCCATGTCGAGAGCCTAGAATTAGGTGTTGTTCTTGCCCGTCTACCTTCGCAGCTAACACGGGTTTGGAGTGGTATTAACATAGCTTTTTTTTAATCCACGGGGACTAAGGTTGGCCGCCGCTTGGAAAAAGTCAGTCGGCTCTCCTCTAAGTTTCTCTCACTTCTTAAGTTTCAAAACGTCTGGAAAGCATAGCCATTTTAATGCACAAAGGAGTATCGTACATAATTAACGATGGACAACAAATACATTTTATTTCACATCAAATTATTTCATCAACTAAACGAATAACTCATTAGAAAAATAATCAAATAGATAACTATTTACAGTAGTGAATCACGGACAGAATGTTAGTTATTCCAGGACGTAAATCACTAACATCTGCACCAGAATAAATAGTTTAATGTCTTCTCCACATCTTATTTAAGACTTCAAAATAAGCGAACAGCAAACACTTCAGCTGATTACAAGAGAGTGGGCAATTTTATTCACACTGGATCTACCACTTGATGCGCTGAAGTTGAACTTTCTAAAATCGAGGAATTTTCATTCTTTTCTTGTGTTTCAGTATCGTCAACTCCGGCCGGATTGGCTATCAAACTTGTGTCTTCGTTACTTTCTCTAAAAAGACAATAACAGACAGAGAGAAAGTCGTTAATGATTAACTAACTAAATAAATGAATAAATAAATTTAAAAAATAGAGACAGACAGATGTATTAATAAAATACCGAAAAAGGATTGAATGAAGTTTTTTTTATCTCAAACACCAGAACTCTCCACGTTCCCATTATTGAAAGCTTGGGGAGCACATCACCAGAAGTGAACTTATTGATAGTATATTGCTGTAATTCTATCCTAGATACCTAGAAGGTCAATTTTCAGTAGATGTATAGGATTTCTTACCACTGTAGGTGGATCAACGTATTTATCAACTATATGATGTACCACTTCTTTATTAACACATCAGTATAACAAAACATCAGACAAAGAATATCTCATAAACACACAAGGATAACTTACACACGTGGTTTGTCCTCCGAAGGCAGAGTAGGAGTTGGGCGATCCTCACTGAAGGGTGTGTCTGGAGAAAATTTCAAACGAACCAAACAATCTCGTCAGGCTGATAGTCGTCACTTATAACACTGAAGATGTGGGAGAGTGTCAGGGCCATATGAGCAAAAAGTGCCTTGAAGGTTCAATGTTTTCAAGGCGTTTTGGACTCGGCCCCAAGCCTTGGTGCATAGCATGACGGAGTGCATTAAAAAGAAAAATTGTTTTGTAAATAGACTGAGAAAGATGGTAAGTTTCGAGCTCGGTAAAGAAATGCAGAAAGGTGACTTTCGTCTTGTCACGAGCGTGTGACAGAAGAAAAATTCTGAGTTCCCATGGGGAATTGAACCTCAGACCTACAATGCCGCGTTCCGATGCTCTACCACTGAGCCACAGAGACTCTACGGTGAGCGAGGTCTATTACGAAATTCTTAAGCATACTGCTAGGATTAGCAATGTTGATAGCCTCATGTTTGTAAATAGAATGAGAAAGATGTTGAGTTTTGAGCTCAGTAAAGAAATAGACAAAGATGTTTTTAGTCTTATCACGAGCGTGGGACAAAGGAAAAATTGTTTTTGTCCCCTTTCATAGTCCCAAAACGAAAATGCAGCAAAGTCTATTGTGCGCAATGTTTGGTTAGTCCATTTCCATCAACAGCCGAACATCTTTTGCTGTCAAATAATTAAACCGCCCATCTCAAATATACGTCTTTCAGTGATGTGCGACGGCGATGTCCTACAATAACGCATGCGCAACTTATAAAACTAGAAATGCAAAGATTTGCAACCGGAAACATCATAGCCCTTTACGTCTGCAGAAATCTGAGACCATCTTAGAGAGCGGCTTACTAGGTTGTCAATCAAATCAAAGGTAAGTGTTTTTATATTGCTCGCCCATATCATCCTTGATCCGGAAAAATCTAACGCGTGTAATCGTACGTTGTAGTTTTGAAATGCGCTCATCTTAACTTTATTAAAATGAATACAATCTTAGTGCAAAGATTTCTTGGGCTAGTACCACAGATTAAGGGCTCAGAACAGGCTGGAGTACTTTGGCTGACACAAGTATTTGTTTTTTCAAGCGTTTAATTTTGCTTTGTTGAATTTGTTTTCTGTTTTCACGGAGGGATCATGTTTAGCAGAAAATTGAGCCCAACCAGAACCGTAGTTCCCAGACAAAGGATCGCAGTAAAAGAGATATTAGAGAAGTCTACAGACTGAAATATCCGTCATGTTTTGGAGTTTTCATAAAGCTCATAGGAAGGGGTTTAGAGGCACCTCTCCTATAAGGACTCTACCGTTCAAGGTGCCCTTTTTCTAGTCCTGAGGGGCACCCTTGAGTTAAGGCCCACCTATATTGGTCCTTACCTGCAGCTGGTCTGTCAGCTGTATTGAAGGGTACTGTGTGCTTAGTCTTATCAGGCTGTACCTTTTCAAAATCAAACAAGACACGAAATTAAATCGTTTGCCATTTGAAAACGACGCAGACCTAATTGTAGGAGGTAAAACATTACTTGCAGGCCAACATTGAGGAGGCCGTAGGAGGCAACAGGTGTCCCAACAAATGTGTTTTCGAGAGTAAATAGAGTATGACGATGGTTGTCAACTTTGCCCCAAGGGTTTTTCGCCAGGTTCTCCCGCATTTCACCTTTCTTCAATTATTAACAGTGATTCCACATTATACAATGAAGGAACAGCCATATCTGGGACAACTTTCCGTGAAATTCGACCTTTGTCCAAGGATAGGGCTATCACTCGATCAACTCAAACTTATATATATATATATTTCAATCGATGCACATAATTTAAATCCATAAAAATATATTAATTTGGATTGTAAATATTCTAACTCACCAAGGTTCTATATGGTCTTCCAGCTGTGTAATCTTTCCTATCCGTAACGATAACTGCAGGACCGTCACTCTAAAAAAAATAAAATAACAACACAGGATTGAATGAAGGGAAGTGGGGGTGGGCTGGAGCGTTGTTGTCGTACTGAATAATTATTGAGTGATCACACCCCACCCCTCCCCTGTGTGTATCATGCCATAGCTAAATACATGTAGCCAAAGGTTATAAACTGAATTCGCTATTCTTAATCTGTAGTAATCTTCTCATCCACAGCTGGGTTCCCTGTGAACTTGAAGTGAGCCACATAATAAACATACCGCGTACACCACAGCAGCATGCTGGAGTCTGGCCGCTTGTCGTTGAAGGGAAGTTCTCAGGAAACTTTCGTCCTTCAGTGCGTGTAACCTAATACCAGAATTTCGGATGTTAAACATTCACATTTTTCAGCTTCTCAATGCTGAACGAATTAGGAACAATAGTATAACGACATGTTTGCCTCATTCAAAGACGGTGGAGTACACGTAAGGAACTGTTGTTGACTAAAACGGACTCACGTTTGTTGCAAAATGGTGACTTTCATTTCCCATGTTCTGTTCACTCTATCAAGTTCTTTCTGCAACCTAAAAATATAAATGGAAAGAGAAAGAGAATTATCTAAGCATAGCCAGTCAGTCAGTCTCTCACTGAAGCAAATCCGTAGTAAAACTCGTGCAGCTTCCTGCCAGGCTGCCACAGAGGTTGTGTCAAAAGACAGGCAAAATAGAAGCTGGCCTTCCAGCCAGGCAGAACCTGGCTTGAAAAGCAACTTTGAAAGACACGGATAAAATTACGTTCGGTCACTTTCGAATTTTCTGACCCGTTTATAAGCGGATCACTTCATAAACCTCACCTTAGAATCTCAGCTTTCTGTTTCTTCTCAAGTTTTTGTAATTTTCTCAACAAGTCATCTTTCTCAGACTCATTTAGTTGAGGCTTCTCCTGTACCAAGAGAAATTATGTAAAATTACTTGGAAAAAAGAGTGAATCTCGCAAGGTTTTTGAGCAGAAGAATGTAGTAGGTCACTAAGGTTCAAAATTCATGTGCTATATCTTGTTCTTCAAGAAGTGGGAACCATGCAGGTTTTATTTGAGAGGTAATTCAAAAGAAAGCAAGAAAGCCTGGATATTATCACGAGTACGTGTCCTAAAACTAAAACCAGAACCTCCCTTTGCCCCCTCTTCTCAAATACCCAATAAAAAAGTAACAGAAAACATGTAAGAAAACAGATTATTCAGAGAAGATTTTTGTTATCAGTGCAGAGATTAGGAAGGAAGTTCCAGAATGCAAGATGAACCAACGATCACATGATCATTGTTCTGCATAATCGTGGAATGCAAGATAAGAGCTCCAAGATGGTACAAATTCGCTTCCCACTTAAAACAGGAAGTTTTGTCATTCATTTACCTGTAAACTTTTCACTCGACGAATCAATAATTATGTAAACATTAAAACAATCCACATTGCCATTTTTCCACGTTTAACCGGTTTCCTACTTCCGCTTAACGGCCACAAAATTCTGAGAGTTGTCAGATTTAAAACAAAATCTTGTGTTGCACATAATTCAAGGACATAGCAACACTTAAAAATAATATTTACTACGCCAAAAAGTGTTCGGAAAGTGAAGAAACCCCTCTTTAGTCAGCAAATTCAGTTTTCATTTACCAGGTATAATCCGTATCGCGTTTGGGAATCGTTTTATTGTTCACTTGAAAGCTCTTTACGTCGCTTTTAAGGGCTTAAATGTCCATAGCTTTCCATATCGGGTTTCCTTCCGTAAAGTTACTTTCATTTAAAGTTCCTAAAAGTCTATCTGAATCGAGAGGGAACGGAAATACCATCTCGAAAATCTCAAAACTCGCGGCCAAACTGGGCGGGAACTTTTCAATCTCGAGGCATTTGTTTACTGACGTCAAAAGCGTTGAATTTACCTTCTTTATTATAAAGTGACTTTTCACATATCGAGACCTTAATTTTGTTATTCATTTCATTGCATATGCATTTCACTCGAGGCTTATGACAATGAATCAACAAAACTCTGTGCATTAAAAAAAATGGACTTAACCTTCCGCAGTCGATTGTTTCCCAGATCTCTTACCCGTTGCCCCTCACCCGGCCTTACCATTCGCCTGAGCCTGGACACCAAGACGCCTGGCTCATAATGGACAACTGGGACCCGCTCAGTAAGTGGTCGTCCGATGACAGTGGTGCTTTCAGATGGTGCAAGAGTGGTGGACTTTTGGTGCAGGCACGTATGAGGTAATAAATGAAGTACAGTGCATTGTGCAGGTTAGTTGAGCAAATTTATGAATGTAACTGAACGTCTGGATCGATACTGACACACTACCTCATGGGATACTTCTGCCTGACTCGCTATGCGCCCAGCTGAAACTAACAGATGGACTCGGCTCGAAAAACTACCCTTTCTTCCTTCTGAAAACTGACGCACTCGTGTACACCATACCGGTATCCCGTCATGGTCATTTTGTGTGACATCAGTTGAGCAACTTTATCAACAGCGTCCATTGCTTTCAAAATTGAGTATCCTTCCGCAAAATTACTTGTTATTTTGAGCTCCTAAGAGTCTATCGCAATCGGAATGGAACGGAAAAACCATCTTGAAAATCAAAAACCAATCGCGGCCAAACCGGACGGGAACTTTGAAGTCAATCGCAGAGAAAATCTTTCCATCTCGAATTTGTTTGACGACGTCATAAGCGTCCACATAGGATTACGAAGCTAATAGTTATGTTATATGCTTCACGTAACGCACAGTCTATATTTCAAGTAATTTGACGCATGGAATGTGTAAATCAATGCCTTTCGACATGAGTCCAAAAGTCACGACGCAACCAAAGAAAACTTGAAAACTTTACACGACGAACAAAAGAACATCCCTTCTTGGTCGAAAACAAGAGTCTAGTAATACCCTGAAAAATCCTTACTTTTTGCAAATGTAGAACCAATAACAAAAGAAATCTTAACATGATCTTCCGTTTGGCTTACAAGAAATGCCTTCGAAAAGTTCCATATCTCCAGCATAACGTACCGTTCAATAATTTTTATTTACTTCACAACGTAACTGTATCCAGAATAATGAAAAAAAAAAAACACCAAACTGGATCTTCTCCGTAAATCTGATAAAACAGAAAATCAGTCAAACAAGCTCGGCCCTTAGTTTCTGTTAGACTTAAAATCAAATCTAGATAGACTGGTGACGACACTTTTCACAGGTCAGGTCAGCGGTTCACAGGTTTACAGGTCAGCGGTCACTAAACAAGATTTTTTAAAGCTTCGAGCGAAAGAGGCTAAAAGTTCCATTTTTTTCCTTAATATTTTACTAACTTCTTAGTTACTACATGTGAGTGTTACTGTATTAATGTCTTCTGTTAAGAGAGGAAACGAAAAACAGTCCAACGATACACCGGAAGATTTCGAAACGTTTTTGCGAGAATCGCTTGCCCAATTGAGCGAAGGTCAAAATAAGATTCTTTAGTATATCAATTCTTTAAAACCCAAATTCTAACTCAACGAAGCTTCCTTGTTTGATATCTCCGGACAACTTACGACTCTCAACATAGCTCGCCTAAATGTACATACCTACCTAAACGTTTAACCTGTACTAAGTGATTCTAATACCTGTGCAAAATTTCAAATCGGGTGATAAACCCTTTTTCTACAGGATCCTTAGACAAACATTACATACCTTAGTTTGCTGGCTCTCCATCAGCTTTCTCTTCTCATCTATAATTTTTTGTTCTTTAATCTTCTGATCATGTGCTCGCTGCAGCTCCTCGACTTGTTTCCTCGAAGCTGCCATTAACTGACAGAAAGTAAAAGTTAGAGACGACTTAGGGTGGACTTTTAACGAAATAGAGAAGGCAGCGGATGTGGAAACATTGGATTTGGATTGAGCTTAAAAATGGCTGAGCAGTTGAAGTTAAAACTGAGTGATGATGTATAAATAGAGGAAGCAACTGACTTCGATCAAGAAATGGACTCAGGAAACGCAAAATTGAGTTTGGAAAAGTCTCAAAAGTAATGGAAAGAGTATCACCAGTTGTACAAAATATGGTAAACACGTGGAGCACCAGGCCAGGCCAGGCCATGCCGTCTAACAAAGATATAACGCCCAGCGAAGACTTGTGCATACATGCACCTGACCATTTTATTATCGTAAAGCTTGAACACGATTGGCCTATAGGCACAGAGATACATGTATGTTGAAAAAATGAACGCATTTGATTAGCAGAACAGTTTGAGAGGAATAACATACATTTGTTTTCGTCTCCTGCAGTTTATTGTCCATCTCTCTTTCTAGCTGTGCCCTTTGACTTTGTAGCTGCACAAAGGAACACAAACATAAAAAGTTTAATTAAGGATTGTAAAGTTTACTCCCACTCCAAACTCGCTGCAAAACATCGCTCATTATCTAAACAATGTTTGTGTTGCGACCCGCTTCCCCGTCAAATTCTGTGAAGTACTAAGAAGTTTTAGTGAATTAGATTTTTCATTTGATCAGACATAGGTTCCTTAAAAAAAAATACGCGATTTACTTTATCTCTACATGACGGAAAATTCAAATTTTCTTTATTTAAAATACTGAAAACTCGCTGCAAAACAACGCTCTTACTAAGAATTTTTAGGGGATTAGATTTTTCATTTGATCAGAGATAGATTTCTCAAAAAAAAAGAAAACAAAACGCAATTTATTGTGTCTACATGACAGAAAATTTAAAATTCATTTATCTAAAATGCTGAAAATTATGCTTATTTATTTCACTTAAAGCTCACATTTACCGAGAAGAAACAGTTTCGATTGAGCGTTGTATTCGACTCAAATGAAAAACATTGGAAGGTTCAAGAGTAAAATAATTACAGATTAATTCTACTGACCAGAAAATGCTTTGATTTCATTGGAAAATGAAAATTGGACTTTTCAAAGCTGAGAATCTTTATCTTGAAATAAGTTTGATCGAAGTTAAACGTGGTATTTTTAATCAGAATCATATTAATATTAAACCAGTCACCAGTCATTTAAACTGCCCTTCGTATAATGTAATGGAAGCTATCAAAATAGAAACAACCTTTCAATTTGTATAATTTAACGGCTTTTATATACAAGTACCGAGTTTATCTGTATTAGGAATATCTTCATATTTATTGTTGTTATTTCTTACAAGAAAGAATATGGTAGTTTGATCCCCAGTTTTGACCTCTTCATTTTGCTGGTTAGCAGAATCTTGATCAATAGAATTTTTATGCTGAGAAGAAAACATGGATGGTGAAAAGTAAAATTGTAGACATCTACAAAGACTACAACTACATATATGCAACCATCAAAACATGCAGTCCTCCATGATTATGTTTATCTGTAAACGTGCTTGAAATATTGAGTTTAGCTTCAAAGAATTGAGAATATTTTCATTCTGATAGCAGTTGCAGGCCAGCCCGATAAAAATAACCCTCCCCCCGCCAAACTTTGTGAATTTTAGAGATTTTATGTTTAATGTGTATACATATCTGTAGGAATTTTTCGATATATCAATTGATTATGCAGTAACTGGAGTTAAAGTTATAATTAACAAGAATTCTTGTAATATGTTGTTATGGAAATACTAGAGGGCTATTAACAAATCATTGGTTAAGACTGAAACTAAAACACACTCCTAATTTGGGCCTTCCATGAAAAAGTGTCTGGAAACTAACCTCAGCTTTGAAGTTGTTTCGTTCATGTTCAGCTGCGAGCAAAGCATCGGAAAGATCTTTCTTCAACTGGTAAAAACATCGTGATCACACCGGGAAACGAAATAAATGACATGATAAGTAATCACACGGTGCAGTGTTAATTTTCCAAAACAGATATATCTTGTTATAGTGTACATGATAAGTTGAATTATTCACACGTTTTGATTGTTTCCTATTCCTGATCTATTGGAAGACCGACACATAGATGACATCAACATTTTAATCTTGTAAAATATATAGATTTCATGTTGCCGTGGGTCTGTACAGTAATAGATCACATCAGACATTTTGACGTCATCTGTGATCTATTACTGAACAGAAACATGGCATCATGGGATCTATTTGCTCAAGGAACATGGTAAAACACGAATCTTCGTGATCGAGAGGTCTAGTGGCCAATTGCCTTGATGATTGTGTTGTGTTTCTTAGGCGAGATAATCAATCTTGTACAGTTATTCTCTTCACCCAGGAGCGAAAAGACGTGCTAAGCAAACTTTTATGGAGTTTTAGTAAACTACTGAGAACTCGATCCAAGAGGACTAAAACAACAAAAATAATCTAATGACAACTCAACCATCTACAACATATAAATCATTTCAATCACCTGTTGGATTTGCTGTCGATCACCTCTAAGTTGTTCATTTAAATCGTCAATATCAGTTGCTGAAAAGAAAATAACACCATTAGAGATGTTTACACACACATGTGTTATACTACGAATACTCAGATTTTCCAAGCTGTGAAAAAAATGGAAAAAATAAGCAGATCTTGTACATAATACACATATCATAAGGGCCCCATTGAAAACTGTCAGGGTGGCCTCTGAGTTACCTCTTAAATTTTTGATAATGTAATGAATGACCATCGTAAAGGGTTTCTAATGCTGACGTTCCCGGAGCGTTAGCCCTTTGTCGGAGCGAAGATACGCGTATACTCGCATGTCAATACTAGTATGCATAATTGGTTAAATACGCACGCTATGCGCGTTCAACGCGCATATTTTGGTCTCCTTATCTTAGAGTAGCACTATGATTGTGAATATACTTCTTCGACTGTCAAACTCACCTAAACGCCTGTTTTCAGTTTCTTTGTCATCTAGCTGATTCATCAAATCATCCACTTTATTTTCTAGTTTTTCAACTTCCTCTCGCAGCTCATAAATCTCAGGATTTGTAGCAACACTACTTGCTGATTTGGGTCTGTTGAGTGCATCCTGCAGTTCTCTATCTGCTCTTTCCTGTGCATCTCTCATCTGCATCTTCATCATCTCTATGATGGAGTCCTGCTGTTGTTTAGCTTTTTTCTTTTCGTCATCATCGTCTTGGACTTTTCTGAGCTTTTCCGAAAACTTCGCTTTGTCTTGCTTGCTCTTCTTTGCATAATACTCCTTAATTGAGAACATATAATCAAAGGTAAGCTAAAGTGTATACTGGTGCCAAGTGGCCCACTCAGTTAGTGCTTATCCCGGTTTCCTTGGCATGAACAACTAAGAGTATCACTACTCCCCCCTGGATGAGATGCTACTCCACCACAAGGTTACCCGCAGCATTTCATCAGGCTTCCCTGACAATTCGCCAATACCCATTTATACTCTTGGGCTCAGTTGTTCAAAGGGAGTATAAAAATCCAACGGTTAAATTGCTATCCAATAGATAAGTGTCGTGAATACTTGTACATACTGCACTATCAACCAGATAGAGATATACATGTATCCAGTGGATAGCGTTGTCCACCCTTCAAATAGCTGAGGCTTGGATGAGGAAAGTCACTATGAAAGTAAAGTGTTTTGCCCTAAAAGACAAAACATAGACCAGACCACTGCATCTTCCACAAGTAAATTACCATAAAAGGAGTGTCAAATGCATCGTTCAAATAACCTTGCACCTGACTCCAAAAAGTTGCAGTTACTGGTATGGAACATCATTTAAACTGAGAGCCTAAAACATGCTCCCCTGACAAGAACTAAAGTAGTCTGAGAGTAAAGGTTTCATCAGGTCCATCAAAATATCATGATATATCAAATAGACTGAGCTACAATTGTTGTCATGAAATGAAGAAGTAGTATCTTAAAGTACAGCTGTGGTTTGGAGATTGCATTCTTTGCACTTGTCAAGAGGACTGCAAAAGAGAAATCTCTACCTGGTGTTGGCTGGAGATTTGGGTTATAGCATCAGCAAGCTGCTGACGATAGCTTCTTCTGATAACATTAACACGCTAAGAAAAAGAGAAAAAAAGAGAAATGATCACAACAAACTAAAATACTTAATAATCTGATTATGGAGTTGAGATTTCTTTTGTGTGATAGTTGATGAGGGTAAAGCCTCATTGGGTCTGTCACTGTGCTCACAATATATCATATGCTCAAAACCTCAGTGGGTCTGTCGCTATGCTCACAATATATCATATGCTAAATCATACACACATTTTGATTGGTTCTTGTTTGTGATCTATTGGGGGACAGATGTATACATGTAAATGATGTCCCCAGTGACAAGTATTTGCAACTTTGTGATATAAAACAAGCACTTTAGTTTCCATGTTGCCAATTGGGTCTGTGCACTAACAGATCGCTGACAGAAGATGTCAAAATGAGGAAAGAGCATCAGTGGCATGCTCAGATGAGCTGCACGTGCCACTTATGTAGTACAGTATTTTGATGTTATCTGTGATCTGAAATATTACTGAAACTGAAAGATGCATGACAATTAACATGGAATCTATTATTTGAATAGATCACCAGTAGCACAAGCCATAGAATTGTACCATTTGTGACAGAACCCTAGTCATTTTATGCAGACCAACATTTTATACTGACCAACGCCAGTTCCATTTTTGAAATGTGGATTCCTTTTCACACTAATTAACTTACATCTTCATGCTGTTTCTCCAGTTCCAAGATTCTGTCATTGACTCTACAATATCTGCAAGAGAAACACATCACAAACTTTACAACGCACCCTCTACCCACACAAATCTTACTTAAAAAAAACACAAAACAGGATAAAAACTGAGAGAAAATAAAATTCCTCTTAAAGCAGTGTTTCTGATTTCATTAACCTAATGGATTGCATGTAAAAGTGAGAGGCATAAAACAACAATAACAATCAGTGTTCAAGTCAACAACAACAATAACAACAGCAACAATTGCAAAATCCTGACATCTGACATGTCAGATGATCATGCCATCTGCACCTTTATCAGACTGAGCTCATTAATAGTTTCAGCTTCACAAAAGAAAAGGCTTAACAAACTCCTAATCTTACAACACTCTCTCTGTATGACTGTACCCATACTAACTAACCCTAGAGTGTGGAAAGCCAATACTTACAAGTCCAAAGCTCTCTCTTGCAGTTTATTCTCATAATCTGCTTGAAGAACATGTTTAGCATAATGCAAACTCCTTTTCAGATTCTCAATGTCCTTCAAAGGAAACAAGTAAATGTCAGTGAGTAATGTGTTGGAAAATGTTCCATCATTTCCAGAGTGTCTATTTGGTGGTTTGAGCTCCAACCTCACTCTTCCAAAGT